GCGAAGTAAAATTCCTCTCTCATCAATTATTTCTAGTGTATGTACATGATAAGCTATCCGTAATAATGACTGTAATGTATGTTGAGTAATAACATCACTATGATTGATTTCAATGTGTGTTAATAATGACCAAGGAACTAATGATGATATGGAACATCCAGGCTTGCCAAGATCTCGAACACCATTGACCTTCTTATAACCACACAGAGATAGTGTATTAGCACGTGGAAACAAATTTGTTACATCAGTTGACATTTGACAAGATCTAAACAGAATAAAAGAAAAGATTCATATTAATCTTTTATACAAGTAAATATTTTCGATATACTTTTCAAGATCTGTAGAAAACATGTTTGATAGAAGAATGGTGTCATTATATGGAAGAGTATATACCATAAAACAATGATATCTAGGACTCATATGAGAATCATTGCATTCTTGTATAAAAACTCTCGGCTTTTGTCGCTGAGTAAATGCAACTTGAAAAAATGAATTGAAAATTATTTTTTCTTCCAAGTCATGTTCAACATATAATAATAGATTAAGACTATAGATTGCCATTGGTTTAAGACGATCGATACATAATTGTTGAATAATATCACCTGATATAATCAATGAACCAGAAATTAATGTATTTGCTTCTAATTTTAATGATAAATGACAAAGTTGACAAAATATAGATGATAAAAGCGCAATTGTTCAATGAAAACTTATGTTATTCAAACAATGTATACGCAGACGAGATAGATATTGAAGATGAGCATCGATAGTGGCAGGCAACCTAAAACGATTCATATCACAGATACATTTACATATGATAGTATGTTACTTACGTGATTCTATCAAGTACATCATTCTCACTGATATCTCGATCTCTTATGCCAAAAGAAAGATTCTCAATCAATGGTATACATAATAGTAAACGTTCGAGAAAGCGTGATGTATGTATACCAAAAGTCAATGTACGAAGATGATTTGTATTTAATAAATTTTGTAAAGTCATGTGATATCTTAATAAATAGGTTTCTATTTGATTAGCATTACCATCCTTATGATTAAATGAAAGTCGACAGATTCTTAAAAGAGGCATTCGTGAACATACCTTTAATTAAATAAATGAAAAAATTAGATTTTCCACATTATTATATTTAAAATATTTGTTAAGATAACTAAAGACAATTCTATATTGAATAGAAGGGAGTAGTAGTTTTTTACCTTAACTAGATAAATTCCTCAACTTGAAGACAATTAAAAGGATTAGAAGGTGTCACATCAACTAATAAAGTATGTAATTGTTTTATGAAATGATTACACAATAATTTATCAAATTCATGTGGTTTAATGTCGATCAAGTGTAGACGTTGAAGCAATTTTGTTTGATGATTTCGAAGAGATGATGAAATAAGTGTCCATCCACCAATAACATTGATTAATGTCAGACTTAATGAGACGATGCGACTTCCTATTAATTTCAAGACATTGTGGCAATGATCATTGAACATCATTAATGACATTGTTGAATCACCAATATGAATGTGCCACAAATATTCATTTCTTATCACTCGAGAAATGTTTACTCAATAATAAAAATGATTGAAGAACATCAATTGGAGATAAATAACGAAAAATTTCATAAAGAATATCGTCAGGTAAAATTTCCACTAATCTAACGCTCATGTTTATTTTTTTATTTTCTATTGTATATTCATATTGAGTTATATATATTTTCATAAAGACAATGCCCCCAAAACAGACTTGACGATTGAAAATGAGTCAAAGTTCCACTTACAGGTAAAACAGACAGAGAAATATGAATTAACTTAAAGTTGAATTAAGCAATATGATTGGTGTTTCTACGTAACAACGGAAATTATATTGATTAATTCACTTTTAACTCGTCTTATTTTTTTTTCAGTCTGTTTGGGGCCTAAGACGATAATGTTGTTGTTGTTGTCGAGTTAATTCACTTCAATGAAGCTTAAGTCCATCATTAAGTGTACCTGCTTGTACCGTAATTTTACGTTCATACATAAAAACATAATTATTTGTAGTTTTATCGAGTTCAGATATTTTAAAAACACAATTTAATGGATAAACGAAGTCTATTCTACCTAATCGTTCTTGCGCTGATTGTGCCATCTGGATGAATATGTTCGAGTTCATATTTGTTTGCCATTTTAATTGTTTAAAATTTTGTCGAATCTACAAGAATAATAAATAATGTTAGAATCATACATAAACAACATTAGCTGCTTATGTTGAGATGATATGGATATCGATGTTAAGGCCATCTTAACTAAACAAACATGCTTACAATGAATCTGATTCATTACGTATTTATCCTACACGTACAAATATTAAATATGTATTGAATCAAATGTTTAAAATGAAAGATTAGATAAAAAATATTTTTGTTCTTTATTCTTGTGTGTTGCTCATTTTAAAGAGTATTTTTACTTTCATTGTGAGTCATTATATTATGAGAAAAAAAAAGCAGATTCAATGACCTTTGAAATCTTTCGAAAATGTTATGATTTTTTGCTATCTTTGAACATCTGTTCACAGATAGCAAATAAGACTCACAGTCAAATATAGACAGTTTTATTTAGTGAAACTAGATTAAACCACTTGACGCAGAAAAAACTTCAATTAATCCACACCATTTTCGTTGATATTTTGTGAGCCAATTCAGAGCATTACTCAAAGCGAAAGTTCAAGAGAATTTGACTAATTCGACTTCTTTCAATAGATTTGATTAGATCATTTCTTCAGTAAGAGACGAATCATTTATAATAAACCTCGTACAATTCATATGAGAGCCGTTCTAACTTTTCACAAGTTGTTATTCTATCTCATGAGTAGAAATAGCTATGAATGAGACTGAGAAAATCCTAAGAGAATAACTGGCTAAGACATATTAGCAAAAGAAATTATACAAATAAGTTTTACTAAATTTTGGGCCTATAATCAGATTTTTCGAAAACGTTCAATTCAAGAATTTTCATTTGAAATTTCACTAGCAAATAAATGTGTTTTTCTTGTTAGAGCAGCTCTCTCACAAATTATGGCACTTTCATTGACACGGTTTTTCTGCTAGTATGGAAGTGCAAATATTCACATCTATAAAACGTCAAAATCACTTTCATTATCAATTCAGATCTAGTTGTGAGATCATACTCAAATTGATTCGTTGCATTTGCATTAAACTCATTCGTGTCCAACACAACAGTTACTATATAGTCTACTCTAAACATAAAAGTCCATTAACTCAACATTCTTACACCTAACTAAAAAGCTTTTATTGAGTATATTCTTACATACAAATCATATCTGAATTGCATGACACTGGTTTAAATTGAAAATTTATTCTACCGAATTCTTATAAATAAATAAAATTTGTTTACATAATTGTTTCAAAATAATCTTAAACAACTTCTTGTAAATAAACAATCATATTCCAATCAAAAACTGTTTCTTCTTCATCATTATTATCAATATTAACAATGTTGTCCTGTTATATTTGACCATATACGAAATCCACAATAATTTTTATTATCAAACCATCATAAGCAATGATAAATTGATATTAATTCTGAACATATTGTTGATATTAAATCTTTTAATTGTAAATGTTCAAGTATAACTTTAATATATAAACGTGTATCAATAAGTGACCAACGTTATGTTGATAAAATAATTTTATTTAAATTTTCATATATTGTTGTACTACCAAATATGTGGTGATTCAACAAGTAATTGTACACTAAAAGAAAACAAAAAACAAGTTTTTTAAATTATTATTTAATAAAATTTACTATATATGAATTCTTTACAGTAATTTTCTCATAAATACTTGAATAGTACGTTTCAATGCTGGTTCAAAAAGAAGATTTTTTGTTGATTGTAACCAATAATAAAAATGATTTAATTGCATATCAGCAAATATATTTGTATATGAATGAACATCTTGTAACCATATTTGAACCATTTGTCGTAGAAGACGTAATGCTGGTAAACATTGTGTTGTTTCATCATAACATCAGGACCACATAAAGAATTTTGTACAATTGTACCAAAACCTTAAAAATTTATAAAAAACAAAAAATAAAATAAAATAAAATTTAGAATTTTATTTTTTATTACCAAGATCAAAATTTGATCCTTCATCTTTGTATTTTTTGAAAATTTAATACAGCACATATAGCTAAACCAACAAGTTCAAATTTAATACATGATGTTGGATAAAATCCTGAATAATTTATTTCAAATGGATGATTTTGTTTATCTGTATGTATTCCTTTATTATCATTTTTAAACATATTATCATTTGAATTCATATGATTATTACCATGATTATCATTAACATCAGCTGTTAATAACATTCGATAATCATCTTGTTCTTTTCCACCTAAATCAGGTTGGTCTGTTAATGAACACCATAGTAAATGATTATGTTTAATTAACTGTCGAGCATAGAATAGATCACATGCAAATAAACATGGATCATCAGGAAAATTTCCTAATGGTATATAAAGATATTGACATTGTTCATGCATATTAACAAATATTATATTTGCATTTGCATAATGTTGTAATGCATGACGTGCTGCTGTTCGTTGTCAATCAAGACCTTTATATAAATTAGTTTTATCTTTTATTGATATTATTACTTTTGAATAATCATTTAATGATGATAACATAGATGATTGAAGATTAGTTACAGGAATATTTGATTGAATAGCTAAATAGATTGGTAATGAACGAGTTGCCATATCATTTTCACGAACTATGATAATAATGTTATTTTTTATAATAAGAATTTCAAGAAAATCTATCCATCAATAATGGCTATAGAGAAAAGTTCGATTTTCAAATAAATCAGATTGAGTCTTTCACAAACAGTGTAAGTGTCGCTGTATCGAAAAATTTTCGAAAGAATTTCATTGTAGCTAATTGTTTTTTTTGCCTTGTTTGATGAATATCTTTCGAAAACGTTATGCTATAGAGTAGCCGATCGTTTTATTATCAAACAATGACCACCCCATTAATCCGGGCAAGATGAGAGTGAGTAAACTAATGGTCCAGAGGTTGAACTATCGAAAAATGGTCTTATCTACTACTTGTGTATCATATAATACGGATTGTGTAGGTTTTTTTCTGGTAACTATTTTTCATTCGAGATTTCATCTTTTGTAAAAAAAAAAAGAGCTAATGAAGAACTTTATTTGAATTATTGTCTATTGATTTAAATTAAGTAAATTTTACTTACGATTTGAAATAATTTTAATAAATCTTTTCCAAATCTTTTGTATATCCATATCAAATTTAACTTCAAATTGATGTTCATTTATTAGTAATACTTAGGGCATACCAAAAGTACGGGCAGTGACATTTTAATACCGTGTAATTGGTTTAAATAACTTTCTTTCTGTATAGTCTGATAGAGAAAAAAAAGCTCTATCTTTCTATGCTATTTGATCATACTTCAACTAACATTATAATATTAAATTATCTATAAAACCTATTTCGACTGGTTGTGTACTCGTAGTAAGTTTTACTTTGCAGTTTTCAATTCCTTATTAGTTGTATTAACAACCAAAATATATCATAAGATGCAGCGTGAAAAGCTCTAAAATTTACATAAGAACACTTATTTTATCGCTGCACTTTTTATTTTAAAAATGGACAAAATTTTGAGCAATCAAATTTCGACCATAGGAAAAAGATAATGTTTTCGATACAACGAATTCATTCTTTATTATTTCATTGTTTCATCATCTGATATGCTTGATCAAAGTAAAAACTAAATATGCTACAAGATGCAGCGTGAAAGGCTCTACAATTTACACAGTAATGCTTATTGTAATTGTTTTCAGAAAAAGGGAAATTCTGTGCAAACAATTTTTGCAATGCCCAAAATTTGTTTCCTCAAAACTTTGTCCATTTTGAAACAAAAAGTGCAGCTATAAAAGAAGTGGTCTTATATAAATTGTAGAGCTTTTCACGCTGCATCTTATGATATATTTTGGTTGTTCATACAATGTATTAAGCGATTGATAACTAATCTGTTTCACACGTTGTTATCTAGTACAACCAGCGCATAAACAGCCGAAATCGGTTTTATAGATAATTTAATATTACAATATTAGTTGAAGTATGATCAAATAGCATAGAAAGATAGCGCTTTTTTTTCTCTATCAGACTATACAGAAAGAAAGTTATTTAAACCTATTATACGATATTAAAGTGTCACTGCCCGTACTTTTGGTATGCCCTAAGTAAACTTGTATCAATACCTTTTTGAAGTCTTTTTTCACATTCATTTTTTAATAATTTATTTAAATTTGGCATATGATTTTCTCTAATACTATCTAAAATACCAATAAATACACGACAATTATTTGGTATAAATAAAGCAATAAATAATTTTCCATTATCTTGATGTATATATAAATAAATACATTGTAATGTTCCTGCTTGTCAATCTGTTTGTTCTGATAATGATAAAAATTCTAATTCATCATATTGATATAAATTTGAAAGCATATTTGTACGATATTGTTCTTTACGTAATGAACATATACAATCAAGTGTAACAAGTAAACGAAAATCTAATGGTACATTCATTTCATAAACACCTTCAATATTTGGATTACTTAAATCTGTCATTATATCTGTATAATAATCATGAAAATGATTTTCATCTAAATAATATTCATCTAAATAATAAGCTTGTGAACAACGTGGTAATAAACGATTGACATGTTTTGAACAATTATTAATTGTACGTTCATAACCACTTGATGGTTGGGTTTGTTTTAATTGTTCATGTGCATTATTATTATTATTATTATTTTCAACTGATGTACGATAACTAACATAGGTTGTTTGACCAAATGATGATGGTGAACCAAGAACAATTCTCCATTGACGTGTTATCGTTTTATCATTTAAATCATCACGTTTACGTTTTAATGTTTTTTTGTTGTTTTCTTATTAATTTTATTGATGATTCGGTTTGTTGACCTATATCTTCAATATCATTTGTTAATATTAATTGTTGTCCATTATTATCTATATGTGTTTGTTTATCAATTGAACTAAATACATTAGTTATACGTTTTTGTTTATATAAACTATATTGTTCACCTAAACGTTTATGTAACCAATCAGGATGTGATACACGTGGTACTGGATTACGAATATTTTGTAAAGCAGCTGGAATGGTGATGACTTTTTTGTATACAACTATTAAAACGATCAATTTAATAATTCCAATCAAGAATTTCACGTATATCAAGATTATCAACAGTTGAAAGACGTAACCATTTACGTAAATAATGATTACGTATAGATTGTTCTGATTGAAATATAGCTAATGGAATAGCACGCTCAGTAACAGGTGCATCACGTGGAACATTAGCAATAACAAAACGACAACAAAGACCTTTATCTTTAATAACATCTTCACCGAGAAATTCAGGAAGTCTAAAAACAAAAAATTCAATGAATGTTTTGAAATTTATATAATTGATAGTCTTTGTCCGACAAAAAAAATATTTTATTACAAGGAACTAGAAAGGGTGTGGGTGTTAGTGGATATTCCTTCTATCTACACCCACATCCACATCCACACCAACACCCCACATCCACACCCACTCACACCCACACCCACCCATACCCACACCCACCCACACCCCACCCACCCACACCCACACCCATTTTTTAGATATAGCCTCATTAGCACTCCCGTTGATGAATATCGCCAATTTTAGAGCTTTTCGTAAAATGTTCATAAAAAATCGAGGGATCAATACTTTTTAAAACGGCTTGCGCCAAAATTCTTAGAACTCTTCCCTCTATCACATCCCTTAAATTGAGCAAGATCTGACGACCTCGATTGAGCAGAGTCGGTTGTGGCTTACATGGACTGGCTCTTAAAAGAAAAAGAAACTTTAAAAAATGTTATGATTTAGATTCCATGTTCAATCTGTAATGCGAGAAGAGTAGCTGTAGTTGCAGATATTGTATTGGGTAAGTAAATATCCAATGGCGTTGTTTGTCGAATGGCTGCTAATTGAGCCTTTCGTGCTCGTGTTTCCGAGCTGTCATAATTACTGACCAAAACTTTGGCGTCTGTTCGAAGAAGATACACCCTTAATCCTGTACCCAAAAGATGTACCACTTTCAAAATGTTGTGTGTATCATTACGAACGACACTGAACATTTCATCAAGTAAGAAACCATGTTTACACAAGACGATATAACCATAACCTCGTTCAATCAATTGTTGGTAATGTGGCCGACGACAACAACAAAATGTAAAAGCTCCAACAGCTCCTAAATGCATAAAACCCGCACGATCAGGTCCGTATAAATAATTAACGTATGAAATCCATTGTTCACCTTCCAGTTTAATTAAATAACGAACATTATTCCGTAAAATTGCATAAATTCGTCCATTCATATAATGTTTCGCACCATAATAAATGGCCCAAAAGAATATCAAAGCAGTGATACAAGCGAATACAATACCAACTGTATGTAATGTGTGCGATGTTTTACATAGAGAAACGTTCTCGTCACAATTTATACAGGCCCATATAATCCATATTGAACATGTAATAATAAGTGTTGGAATACAACCTATAAAAAGGTACAATCGTCGATAACGATCTACACATTTACTTCGTTTAATTATGTTGTCAAAAATTTCGATGTCCGATAAAACAGAAGCACAACTAGGACCAAAACGATCATCTATATTAATTGCAGTATTTTGTTGTTGTGCTTGTGATTCTGAAGTATTATTCATTACAGTCGATAAATTAACTTCAGATGTTGAATCCACAGTCACTTCAGTTAATTCACCGGATTTCGACACTTGTTTTTCAGTTAATTGAGTGTCCATACTGTAGTTACAAACACAAAAACGGATATCTCACGGTCGTAGATAAATAAAATAAGAAAAACTCGTTGTGTAGCATTTTAACAGAGAAAAAGATAAAAACAAGCGAAGATGGTTATCATTTTGATAAAATTGTCAGGATTTTGTTAGAATAAATAGATGCTATATAGTTGGTATATTTCATTTCCTCTGAAAGCTTATCACTATACCAGCGTGTTTCATCAAGATTTTTGTTACTAACTACGAATAAATTTATCGTATGATATTTGTTTCACTTTGTCGGCGGTGTTATTACATTATGTTGAAAAAATGTCAGGCATACTGCACTGTAAAAATAAGGGTGTGGGTGTGGGGTGTGGGTGTGGGTGTGGATCTGAGTAAAGAGAAGACCTGAATCCTCACTCACACTCACACTCACACCCACAGCCTCACCTACACATCCACACCGATACGCACACTCCTGTGCCCACACTCACACTCACACCCACCCACACCCTAGCTCTAACGGCAAATAATATCCACATTCAAATTTTGTGCCAAATGAGAGCTCGTGAAAAGTGGGATTTAGGAGTATAACTGACTGTTTATAAAATGAGAATGGACTATAGAATTACGGAAAGTTTTGAATGTTAGAGATGCAAGTGGATACTTCCACCGTAGTCGGCCATTAAAGCATAATATTCTCAGCTAATTGTTTTCGCCTTTCAGACTATGTAAAGGTCTCTTCGCTGATCATTTTAGTAAAAAAACCTTTTTAAATTCGGGTGTGGCGTGTGGGGTGTGGGTGTGGGGTGTGGGGGCGGGTGTGTGGGTATGGGTGTGGATGGGATGTGGGGTGTGGGTGTGGGGTGGTGGGTGTAGGTGTGGGCGTGGGTGTGGGTGTGGATGTCGGTGTGGGTGTGGGTGTGCATGTGGGGTGGGGGTGGGTGTGTGGGTGTGGGTGGTGGGTGGTGGGTGTGGGTGTATTTTTAAAAAGAAACAACATCCACACCCACACCCACACTCACACTCACACCCACAGCACCCACCCCACACCAACACCCTTAGTTTTTCTAAAACAGCTATTTGTTTTTTCGTGTTGAGTACGACATTCTTCACATTGTTTCCTCAATGATTCGCGTTCTATTTCAGCTTTTTTAATTTGTTCTTTTAGATCATTAATTTTCATTCTGGACTGATATGAATCAACGTCATCAAGTCTTTCTAATTCACTTTGTTCTTCATCGCATTTTTTAAGCTCTTCTCTGGCGATGATTTCTTCATCTTCATTGAGTTTCATTAAATGTAATTCTCGTAAATGATGAATATTTTTGTTTTGTAAACGTTGTTGTTCGTCTTGAATAATAACACGTGTTGCCATTTATGGAGAGTATATATTCTTACAGG